GAACAGCCGAACTGCAGATAACAGTCAGCTGAAGTGGCCTGCAGTACTGCACCCTAAGCACTGCGCCACCTCGGCTCTATGTAGGAGAAGAGCAACCACCTGCTCTGGGGACAGGCAGAAAACAAGGGAGGGCAGGGAGGTGGCTGTTTTGGGGCCTTTAGGAGGATGCCGGCATCATAGCCGTGGTCCCCTCCATGACACTACCGAAAAGTTGCAGTCGCTCCATAAAGGGCCCTCCGGACTTCTGCTTCCAAATAGGATTTTGGCTTCTGATTTGATTTTTTTTCAAGCAGGGATAGAATGCAGAATTAAAAGAGTTAGAAGGGACCTTGGTGGTCTTTTAGTCAACCAGGACTATTAGGGGACTGGAGGGTAAAACATACGACTGCAATCAGGGCCATTCCTTCCCTCCCCTCCTTTCTCTTTTTCTCTCTTCCTCTTCCTCTCTCTCTCTATCTCCCCCTCCCTTCCTCCCTCCCTCCCTGTCTTCCTTCCAATAGCACATAGACACGTATCGTTTCATAGGGCTTTCCCGCCCTCTCTAAGCGGTTTACAGAGCCAGCCTTGAGCCTGGTGAGATTCGAACTGCCAAACTGTTGGCACCCTGTGATCAGCAGAAAGTAGCCTGCAGTACTGCACTCCAACCACTGCACCACCGCGGCTCTTAATAGCAATAGCAATAGCAGTTAGACTTATATACGGCTTCATAGGGCTTTCAGCCCTCTCTAAGCGGTTTACAGAGTCAGCATATTGCCCCCACCGTCTGGTTCCTCATTTTACTCACCTCGGAAGGATGGAAGGCTGAGTCAACCCTGAGCCGGTGAGATTAGAACCGCTGAACTGCAGATAACAGTCAGCTCTAAGTGGCCTGCAGTACTGCACTCTAACCACTGCTCCACTTCGATTCCTCATGGGAACGGGTGTTTGTGTGTGTGCCGATTTCCCATCCTGACATCTTTCTTTCCGTGTTTGGGGCTCCTTTTCTCCCCCCCCTCCCCCCGTGACGTCTCCATCGTAGCTGGCAGGGATCTGTAGGGGATCTTGTCAAGCTAATTGATTACTCTGCACTTCACCCGCTGGATGGCAAGTGACACGGTGTGGAATGGAACAAATCTGAATGTCTCACGCCTTCCTGCCGGGTCAAACTGGGGCTCCCTCCTCTGACAGTGATTTATATATTTGCTGCACCCCCTCCCCATGGAAATCATTTCCATCCCGAGTCATGGGAGACCCCTGCCGGGAGGGCCCCCTCTCTGCACCACCGCAAAGAGGAAGGAGAGGAACAAGCTCTCCAGAAAACTGATGCACTCAACTTGAGAATAGAATGGAAGGGGAGAGAAGGGAAGAATAGAAGAGAAGGGAAGGAAATAGAAGAGAAGAATGGAAGGGAAGATAAGAATAAAAAAAGAGAGAAGAATAGGAGGGGAGAGAAGAGAAGAATAAAAAAGGAGAGAAGAATAGAAGAGGAGGGGAGAGAAGAGAAGAATACAATATAGCAATAGCAGTTAGACTTATATACCGCTTCATAGGGCTTTCAGCCCTCTCTAAGCGGTTTTCAGAGGCAGCATACCGCAGGAATGAA